AATAGACGTTGCATTTTGAATATTTGAAGACGTGGATGCCTGCAAAATAGCGGTTAAAAAACACTAAACGGCTAGATTGATTGTGTAAAAAAAATCAACAGTATTTGCATACACACAACTAAAAGTAAACCCTTCCATAACAAAAAGATTCAACGACACTTCGATTCTCAATCGCAATCGGATTTATCATGTCAGCAAAATGATGAGTCACGATGTAAGAAAGACGGGGAAAGATAACGATCATCGCCACAGCTATCGCTGCACACTTATGGCAGGACATCCATGCTTGCAGACATCCATGTACCATAGGGAACAATGCTCAACATTCCGTGCGTAGACATCGATGTCAACGATACATCGGGAAATATCGTACACATCTCAGTAAATCACAATTTCCGATGCTTCGAAAATTTGACAATCCAAACATCGGATCGGCGATGATTGCATACAGGGGTCTGTCCGGACATTTTGTGAAAGGTCCGTTTTTGTAAATATGTGAAAAAATTACTCGTAACTTGTGAATATAAAATAAACGTTAAATCACAATCTTTCAACCAGGGTCCGCTTTTGTGAATTTGTGCAAATAGGGTCCGTTATTGCAAAAAAAACTTTTTCAAGGAGTTTTTAAATTGTAAAGAGATACAAGATAAGGCTCAGCACTGTAAAATTATAATAAAAAAATTTAAATTTTCGAAAATGAACAGCAATTGCTGCTTCTAAATTAGAGATGCAACATACAAATATTTGGTATTTAGCCTATACTGCTAAACGCAGAATATTCATTTCAGACGAATAATGGAAGAATCGTCTGCTGAAGACAAAATTAAGCTCGTTTACATCTGTCTCCCCCTCCCCCACTTCCTGAGAAGGGTTTATTCAATTAACAAAACAATAATGAAGATAAACAAATTTGTGAAGGGTCCGATTAAAAGATAAATTACTACGGACCCAAATTTCTTCGTAACAGACTCCCGGCATAGGATCGATATTTTCCGATGCATCGATTTATCGCCCAGTCCTACACTGAAGACTTATAAAACTGTCATAGCATAAGTCCATTTCTTTTTTTGCTTTATTCTGATAATTTAGTCAATGATCATTCTATCGCATCCATTCTTTGAAGTTCCCCTTTCTCAAACCTGTCTGCCATTTTTTTATTATCATGTTCAAGATTGTTACTGACTCTGTCCCTACTGATTAAACCACTTTTAGCATGTGTCCTTCCTTTTTTTTTTACTGTCAGTTGGAGTTTCCATGTTGAAGAAGATTCGTATTTATAAAAACAGAAACTATAGTATGTCCATTTCTGCACTTTTATTTGTGTTTTATTCACGTTGTTGTTTTGCTTTATCCAAATAAAAGAATCATTTCTAATCAAACTAATTCGATGTATAGAAAATGATAGTTTTTTTTTCCTAGTTAATTGATGTGAAAAGCAACATACTTAATGCCTTGTTTCATAGTTCAGCTACGTTTCATAAACAAAATATTAATTATCAGGTAAAATAACTTCACAATTTGTTTCTGACAGATATAAGAATATAATGACCATATGTGCGTAGAATCGCAATCATTTTAAAGTATGATTTTTAAAATCAAAGTTATAACTAAAATTAAAAAATTGACAAATCAATGACAACTCTGATGCATCATTTGATCTATCAATTATTTCATTTGTTTTTAAGCTGTGCATATTATATTGAATGAGTATAAAGGCCTAGGGAAAAAGTCAGTTTGTACTAGATATTGAAATAGCTTAAAATTTACAAAATATGAGGCTTCTAACAGTGTTAATTTATTACGTATTATCTTCCTAATTACGATTCACAAAATATTACACAATAATTTAAATCGTGCAAAGTGCATACTTAATAATGGAACCATGATTGAATTTTGCACTATACTCTCTGTAGTCCATTAAGCTAATTTCAAATTTTAATTTGTATGCTTATAAATTTAAACTATAAATTAGTATAGCTGCAAACGAGGGTAGAAAAAAATCCAGTAGACTTTACAAAATAATTAAAATTTCATGACAACTGTTGCATAATATGCTAAATCTTTTTATTACATTAATAAGAAATTTTACTAATTTTTATTGTCATCAAAATGCAAAAGCATTATTATACTAATAACTATAAATGGTCAGTAATGTTTTCCACTTAAGTTGATATTAATGAACTTGAAATGTTTTTTATTCAACTCATTTTATAGTAAAAGACAAGTAAGCTATTACTGATACTGATAGTTAAGATTTTTTAATTAAATTTAAATATTAGTACAAAAATAAAAAAGTTTTAAACTGATTACTATACAATTGAGGCTGGCTTCATTATGTATTATTAATATACATATCTAAATATTCAGGCAAGTAATAGATTGGGTATAAATTATTTTCCGATAGGGATTTTTTTAGGAAACTTACTCAATTTTAAAGAATTTCCAATGAAAAACTAGGAGAATTTGGCTAGGAGAAACTGGAAAAATCCAGTAGACTTAGCTGCTATGAAATAGAAACAAACTATTTCTGCACTTGTGATCAGTTTTGGTGCAAGCAATTACAAATGCCATTGAATGCACTCTCAAGATTTAGCATGCATGAAACAATACCTTAATTTGCTCTTAATATTTGATATAAAGGATCTTAATAAGCTATGTGCTAGATCAGATGTGATGGTGATAGGCAATTTAATTAACATTTATTAGGTAAAAAATTATTACATAAATTACTATTTTCTAGGTAACATTATTCATAAATATATAGTATAATTTAAATTTATGCTATTTTTCTAAATCATGTCATATTTAAATGAAACTCTTTACAAGAGTGTTAAAAAAATCAATAATATGCTGCCCAAGAGTGATAAACAAATTTGCACTGAAGTGTATACAAAATAATCAAGTTTATTATGATACGCAACGTGAATCATAACAAACTTTAATACTTTCGAACATTAAGAATGAGAATTAAAGAATACCAAATTCAAAAATGAAAAAGTTATGACTTAATTTAAAAGAAATATCACCACACACTTCATTTAAGTATGCAATTATACTCTAGAGAAAGTTACTACACTATTTTTTCTAATGTGTGGTCTAATAATAATGAATAGTACATTTTACTCCTTATAAGTATGCAATTGATTTCTAGTATATACTATTTTTCCAGTATGTATCATACTTAAGCAATATTATTTCTCTTCTAGTAGGTATCATATAAAAGTGTGATATATTTTCTTATACTTGTATGTATCATATTGAAGGGATAATATTGTTCATCACTTCAATATGATACGTACATCATAGTCAAGTAATAAAATTTTTCTAATAGAAATCATATTCTAATGACAGGGGTGTAATATTTTATTGCAGTATGTATAGTGAAGTGATTATTATTAAATATATTTCTAATATGTATAATATTTAACTGGCAGTATTTTTTAAGTATGCATAGCATAGTCAAAATTTTTCAACTATAAGTAAATCTTCTGAAGAAGAAAAAAACTAGAAATATTCATTTATAATTTTTGCAACAAAATATAATCTTTTGCCCAAATTAATTTTATATTATAAATTAACACTTAAAAATATACTATACATTATAAAATATGATCTAAATGAAAGTAATTACAGCAAGTATTTACTACTTAGAATATTTATGCTTTATCAATAATAAAATACACTTAAATGCTTGTAATTACTACTTAAAACATGCACGGTAAGACGAAAAACATAAAGCACCATCCCTGTTTGTGGCAACTTTATCTAAAAAGAATTTATTAAACAAATTGGAAATCTCTCAATTTTGAATGCTAGCTACACATAGGAATTTAAATTTGCAATAAAACATCGTAATATGCCACAAAAAAATAAATAACATGTTCATGATCTGTCCCCATCTTAAAATAACAGGGAGAAGAACAAAAATTATTAATTTAAGTGATAGAATAAAAATGGAGAATTTAATTATAATCAGTCTGTTTACTTAGCAACATCATGAATTGAGGAAAAATACAACATTTTAGTTAAAGTCAAAACAAATCCAAGTTTTATAGGGAAGATCAGATTTAGAACATTTAAATTTGAAGTATTTTCAATAGTGTAAAGCTTAATAAAAAAAAAAAACATTTTTTAAATGTTATATTGAAACATTTAATATTATTTTATCTGTACATTTTAAATAAGATCTAGAATAGCATTGTTATACTAAAGTAACAATTCTATTCTATATGATTTTTATAAATGAAATCTAGGATATGTTATACTAAAGTAACAATTATCCTACTATTTTATCGGTACTTCATAAATAAAATATAGAATAGCATTTTATACTAAAGTATCAATTAATACTATTCTATATGTACTTTATAAATGAAATCTATAATATCCTTGTTAGACTAAAGAAACAATTAATAATTCTATGTGCCCTTTATAAATGAAATCTTGAATATTATTGTTATACTTAAGTAACAATACTATTCCATCGGTCCTTTATAAATAAAATATAGAATAGCATTTTATACCAAAGTATCAATTAATACTATTCTATATGTACTTAATAAATGAAATCTATAATATCATTGTTATACTAAACTAACAATTAAGACTAATTTATCTACACTTTATAAATAAAATCTAGAATAGCATTAATTGTTATATTAACAATTCATACTGTTATATCTGCATTTTATAAATAAAATAAAATTTTCAATAATGGTATAAATAACAAATAATTAAAAGTCTAAACAATTTCCAATTATCACAGAATTTTAATGATAATAAATGAGAACTAATACATTAGATCTCTAGTATTTTTAATCATCAAAAAAGTGCATGGTAAAATTTAGAAAATAAATATACTAGCTCAAGTTAAATCATTCAAAGGAACATATGCATAATTTTTAAATGCGGCAACAATAAAAATACTTAAGACAAAATTGCAGCTCCGTTTAATAACAGGTTTAAGCTTAAATTAAGAACAGCAATAAACTAGAACATACCTTGGTAATAAAGAGCTCTGCTGTTGCTAAAAATCATAATGAGCTCAGAAACAAAGATTAGAAATAGACAAGGGAACAATTTACAGACATCATAACCAACCGGTGGTTCAACTACTTCACTTAGCAAAGTCACTTCTTCATTTGAAGAAGCCATTATTCCGATTTTTCGAAGTATGATTTGAAGGTTGCCATAAAGAATACTTATCACTTTTTTGGCGAGAAGTTTTTCTCTCGTTAAGACTGATAAAAATTAAATTCGAAAATCATTCATATAAAAAATATCGAATAACATTCTTCTGCTCTTTTTCTACAAAAGATCAATCCTGCAACAAAAATCTTTCAAAAAAGGTCAAGTTTTAAATGTGTGTAAATATAATTTTTATAAACGTATCAAATATTTTTTTTTAAGTAAATATACTTTGTTTAAATATAATTAATAATACTTTTAACAAAAACCACAGTGATTTAAATTATGTTTGAATATTATGGTTGAAAACAAAATTGATTCTAGAAATTTTATTCCAAATTACGATATATTTTATTCTCTGGATAGAATTGGAATATAAATATAATATTATTATGCGTTGTATCGTTTGACGGAAAACCAAACCACAAAAATAATTGTCAGTCCAAAACAGCAATTGATTGAAATCTAAGGTTAGAGATTTTTGCACGGGACTCATGGGAGCCTAGAATAATGTATGGGTAACGTCATAAGCAGAAAAAAAAATTCTCAAACATTATTATTTTTTATTTTACTTATTTTTTGTTCGTTTATGAAAAAAAAGAGAAAATAATCTAAACTAGCCCATGGAAGCGCGGATTATTTCTGATTAAAGGAAACCAGGGTCCCTTTCATTTGAAACAACTATACAGAATTATGTGGCATAGAATTAGTTTCTTAAAAAAAAAAATTTCATTTTACGTAATTTCTTTCACTGAATATCTTTTTAGACTGAGTGACTTGTTCAGTTTAATGTTAAAGAAAATTTAATTTTAGAATTCTTTGACTGTTTACTAAATTTATTTATTGTTTTATTTTTTTAAATTATAAACATGAATATATGGGCAGCTTTATTATTAAAGTATTAATTTATTTTGAATGCTAAGCACTTTATTTTTTCAACATAAAACGGTACAACTGTAGCACATAACGGAAATTATTTATTTATCATTTATTGCAAAAAAAAATTTTTTTAAAGAGTATACTTAATACTTCTTAAAATTCTTTTTTTTTTTTTTTTTTTTTTTTTTTTTTTTTTTTTTTTTTTTTTTTTTTTTTTTTTTTTTNTAAATCGATGAATAAAATGTACATGGTTGCAATTGCATGGTTATTTTTAAAAAAACTAATTCTTTTAGGAACGTATGGTTGAAATTAAAAAGTTGGAATATCTGCGCAATCTGAGCGTTAATGTTAGTTGTTGGTCTCAAATGGAAGTGAGATACCAAAGAATATTCCGAAAAAACATTTACGATGAATTTTTTAGGATAGGTGTCAGCAATGTTCAGAAAAAAGAAATTAAAAAACAAACAAACAATAAACAAGTTTTTTTTTTCTATGTATATGCACTACCCTAATGGAAGACACAACAACTTCACTTTTTGACATTTTTTTAAATATCTCAACAAACACTATTTTGTATTTTTAGAGTTGTTTAGTTCATGTGATTTTTCATATTTTGCAATTAGGCTTAAGGTCTTCAGAGGTTTAAGGGGCCGACAATAAATTACGAAAGAAAACTAGTATTTTTAAATAACTTTTGCCAGAAAATCAAGCAATAAGCTTGTAACTTTTATCGATTATTTTGATTGTTATTTGCAATTACGGAATAAAATTTCGTAATTCTAGCTTAAATATTTATAGAGATCTGGACATTTTTATAAAAAAACTAATTTTTTGTCTTACGTTTAATTGCTATAACTTTAAAAATATTCAATAAAGTTGAACCAAATTTTTAGAGCAATTTAAAATTAAGGTTGAAAAAAAGTTCGTTTAAAACTACGCAAGATATGACTATTTAAAGTAGTTCTTTTGTGCAGCGCATGAGCGAGAAAAAAAATAAAAAAATTTTCTTCATAATTTTGTATTGTTTGGCAACTAATGAAAAAAGTCTTATTTGAATATCTTGAAACAAAAGTTTCGAACAAATTTTTGAACAAAAATTTTTGAACAAGTATTTGAACAAAAAGTTTCGAGCAATTTTCCATGCAGTTTTTGTACTTTTTAAAATAAAGCATCGAAATGATCAGGTGTTTCCCACAAATTTTATTTTATTCTGATTGTCCGGTTTTATGAGAGTACAAAAACTGCTCGAAACTTTTTACATTTTTAAGATATTCAAATAACACTTTTTTCATTAATTGCCAACTATGATTTTCCACAAAACTATGAGAAAATGTTTTTTTTAATTTCTTTCGCGCATGCAGAGTGCGAAAAAACTACTTTAAATACTCATATCTTGCGTAGTTTTAAGCGAACTTCTTTCAAATTTTAAAACAAAATTTTTGTATTTAATTTTAAATTGCTCCAGAAATTTTTTTTAAATTTTACAGAATATTTTTAAAGCTATAGAAAAAAATCTTGACAAAAAAAATTTGTTTTTTTATAAAAATGTCCATATCTCTATAAATATTTAAGCTAGAATTACGAAATTTTATTCCGTAATTGCAAATAACAATCAAAATAATCGATAAAAGTTACAAGCTTATTGCTTGATTTTCTGGCAAAAGTTATTTAAAAATACTAGTTTTCTTTCGTAATTTATTGTCGGCCCCTTAAACCTCTGAAGACCTTAAGCCTAATTGCAAAATATGAAAAATCACATGAACTAAACAACTCTAAAAATACAAAATAGTGTTTGTTGAGATATTTAAAAAAATGTCAAAAAGTGAAGTTGTTGTGTCTTCCATTAGGGTAGTGCATATACATAGAAAAAAAAAACTTGTTTATTGTTTGTTTGTTTTTTAATTTCTTTTTTCTGAACATTGCTGACACCTATCCTAAAAAATTCATCGTAAATGTTTTTTCGGAATATTCTTTGGTATCTCACTTCCATTTGAGACCAACAACTAACATTAACGCTCAGATTGCGCAGATATTCCAACTTTTTAATTTCAACCATACGTTCCTAAAAGAATTAGTTTTTTTAAAAATAACCATGCAATTGCAACCATGTACATTTTATTCATCGATTTAAAAAAAAATATATCGTGATTGCTTTGACCTAACCATGTGATTTAAATCCGATTTAGTCGGATATATGTAAGCAACGTCACGCGTGTGTGTCGAGTCCATAGAGGTCGAGTCGGACCTGATTGGCTTCTGAATCGACAAATGCTATGATTTGCCTACGATGACGTCATTTGCTGGTATCCAATTTCTAAAAGAAATAGCATTATTGCCCCTTAAATCTAAAGTAACTGCTATTGTCGTGCCCTGCTGAATTCTTGTTTGAACAAGATAGCATTTCCGTTACATGTTCCATTCTGGGCTACTGCTTGCATTGACATGTTGCTACTCTATCTCAATTAACCTTTCGAATACGGCGCTTTATCATGATAAAGTCATTCTGGTCCATTTATTGTTCCAGCCATAAGCAAAGGGTTAAATTTCTCCATGAAATTATAAACCCCACATTTAATTATTATTTTTTGAGAAAGAGAAAAAAGAGCAAAATTCAATTCTTTATAAAAGAAGTTCTTGCTGTTTTTCCTACTCTAGAAACTTTGTTACCTTTATTTAATATATGAATAGTAAATAATTATAAATAAGATTAAAACTGCAACGAAAATATAAACTTTCTACTGGTGCAAAATTGCAATTATTATTTTAATTTGATATTATCATTTAAATACTCTGATTATTATTTTAATTTCCTTTATTATTTAAAAAAAAAAATTTTTTTTCAAAATAGTTGGATATTACGATGGTTATCATAAATCCCTTTAGAAAAATCAATGAAAAAATATTTGCAGTGGTCTCGGGCAAATAAAAAAATTGAAGTCAGAGAACAAAACATGATCGGTAGACATAAATTAAATATGATTGTTTCAAAACTTTGAGTGATATAAATTAAGAAGTATTGCTTTTCATAGTGGTTAATATCCATTTCATAACTGAGAATGATAATAATCTCAATAACTTGTGCATGCTAAATACTTTAGTGTAGAATAAATTTAATTATAATAAATATTTTTTATTTGGTGTTATATATTTGTAATGAGTGGAAATTATTTTTTTCGAAATGAAATATAACAAATTCTTATCTTTTGTAGAAGGGCACATTAATTATGAAGACACATTTAGTTCAACTTTCTTGTTCGTCAATAAATTTGTTATGAGTGTAAATTATTTTTAGGTTAAAAATATTTAAACTAATATTATGAAAATAATGAATAATAATTATTACCTATTAAACAATACTTTTCACTTTTCCATTATTTGGTAGGAAATAAATAAATATTGAATACTCTTAATTGTTATTAGATACTTCATACGCTTCAAAAATATATTCATTGGAAACATGTTCCAAACGCTCAAAAACAGGCGCCCATTTTCAAGACTTGCCAAGAGTGAATGAAAAGAAACAAAAGTGATATTAAATATAAAGCTTGAAATTACTAACGAAAAGTGAAGAAAAATTGTAATAGCTGAGAGAGAGAGAGAGAGAGCGCGATGGCTCAGGGGATAGAGCGTTCGAGTTCCAATGAGGTGAACCGGGTTGGAATCCCAGCGATGGCAGGTCAATACGAATCCGCATCCGGCTTGCACCGACCACAGTGCTGACGTGAAATATTCTCAGTGGTAGACGGATCATGGGTCACAGTCCCTTCCCCGTCAGGCTAACCGTGGAGGCCCTCGTGGTCTTCCTCTCCATGTAACGCAAAATGCGGGTTAGTTCCATCAAAAAGTCCTCCACGAAGGCAAATTTCTCCCAATACTCGATCCAGGAGTTCCTTTGTCTTCTGGATAGGGTTCAAAATGACAAGGCTAAGGAGTTGAACATTAGTACTCGTAAACCCATAAAATTGGGTAGGCTATTCAACGACGGTTGTAATAGCCGAGAGAGAAAAAACATGAAATGCTGAACAAGATGTTCTGTCTCTGTTTTTAAAACGATGTTCTGTTTTTAATCTTTCCTCTCTCTAGGCTACGGTGATTTTTCGAGTTTT